TATTTTCCTGATGGTATTCGAAAAGATCTTAAACCATTTATTATCACTCAACCTGAAGGTCCATCATTTCAAATAGATGGTTATCAGATTTCATGGCAAAAATGGCGTATTAGAGTTGGATTTAATGTTCGAGAAGGTTAGAGTAATTTTTTTATTCATTTATTAAGAAAATAATCTCTTGTAGGTCTTACAATGAATATGGTTGAATATTTTGATCAAAATCGTTATAGACCTATCTTTTATCGAGCAGCTATCTCTGAAATGTGGGTTCCATATGGTGATGCTAGTCCTGCACATAACTTTAAAAATGCATTTGATGTAGGCGAAGTTGGTATAGGCATATTAACAAATAGTTTAGTACTTGGATGTGATTGTTTGGGTGAGATTCGTTATTTGGATGGTATTGTTAATAATAATCAAGGTCAAGCATTATTATTAAAAAATGCTATTTGTATACATGAAGAAGATATTGGATTACTTTGGAAACATACCGAGTAAAGAGCTATTATATTTTCTTTCTTTTTGTTATATAATTAATATTATTTTTATAAAAGGTTTGTTGAACAACGTGTCCAATGTCGTCGTTCAAGACGTCTAGTTATATCTTCAATGATCACAGTGGGTAATTATGAATATGGTCTATATTGGTATTTTTTTCAAGATGGTACTATTCAATTTGAAGCTAAACTTACTGGAAGTATTGCACCAGGTAAATGAGAAAAAAAAAACTTTTTTTCATAAGAGACAAAGAATTTTTATAGGTGCATATGAAATTGATAAACCGCCTGTCTCTGGTGGAATAGTAGCTGAAGGATTATATGGTCCACATCATCAACACTTTTTCAATATGCGTATTGACTGGATGCTTGATGGAATGAAAAATTCACTCGTCGAAGTTAATTGTGAGCCAATACCAAAAGGACCACAAAATCCAGCAGGAAATGCTTGGATAGCACAAGAAACAATCTTAAAAACTGTTAGTGAAGCACGTCGATTACATGATGATAAAAAAGGTCGTTGTTGGAAAATTATTAATAGTCAAAGTAAAAATCATGTTAATCAACCAGTTGCTTATAAAATTATTCCATCTGGTCCACCATGTTATCCATTATGTGATGAAGATTCTTGTCAAGGTCGTCGAGGTGTATTTGCACGTAATCACATATGGGCAACAAAATATCATCCAGAAGAATTATATGCTGCTGGTCTTTTTCCTAATCAATCTCCTGGTGATGATGGTATTGTTGCTTATAGTGAAAAACATAAAGATGAATCGCTAGTTGATAGTGATCTTGTTACTTGGTACACATTTGGTGTTACACATATTGTACGACCTGAAGATTGGCCTATTATGCCTATCGAAACATGTGGATTTCGTTTGAAACC